AAAATACAAATCCAGAGGAATAAAAATCCCCTGGAGGTCATGGAGGTTTAAATGCAGTGACTTCAGGCTATCCATGAATTAGGCGATCGTCTTGAAATTAATCGGCTCGCATAAAAAAATGATAGAAATCTGATGAAATTGAATTGACTGACTTTTACCAAATTCAGATTCACGGATTGAATAAATTAGATTTCGTACAATTTTCTAGTTGAAGAATCTAATCATTCCATTACATAAAGTCAAATTTTTTGAATTATATTCCTTGACAAGTATCAAATTTTTTAATAATTTAATCTTAAAAGAATAAAAATAACCTTGGAATCCAATTTAGGGGTCGTTTAACAAATACTTATCCAGGTAAATGTTTATCAAATCAAATTACCTTACCAGATGCATATGACAAGGACCAATAATCTTAACTAGTAAGAACGAATGCAAGAACCGAGAGTCTTACATAACTGGTAAGGACAACGACTCTTACCACGGTTAGCGCTTATTGGATAAATTGATGCATATGATACCATTTTGGTGAACCAAAACCTTATTCATTAAGTAGGTGATAGTGTTGAATTTTCCTGTAAATACTTACTTGAACAAGGGTTTGGTAAACGGTCCATTAATCTAACTTTTTGTTCAACTTTTTTGTTTTTGGCAAAAATGCCCCTTGAACATTGGAGAAATGTAGATTCTATACCTGCTTGGAAACAGCAAAGCGTCCAACAATATTTTAAATTTACTATTTTCTAAAAGAACAAATTGCATGAAAAAATAATTTACTTTAACTTTCAAAACTTTTATTTTGGTACCTAATATGTAAAGCTTTAAACATTTAAGTATCCGAGTAACATGTTGAAGCATTAACCGGTTACCATGTTGATGTGGCGAGTGATGTGATATCCAACTCAATATTAAGATATCTATGCTAACATCACTCGTCACATCAGCATGGTAACCGGTTAATTCTTCAACCGGTTACTCGGGTACTTAAATATTTAAAATTTTACATCTTAGGTACAAAAATGAAAATTTTGAAAGTATGTTACATAAAATATGAATCAAGTTAAAGTACCTTACTTTTTCATGCAATTTGCCCTTTCTAAAATACATTATTTTAAATAGATTGTTTACTATTTGTTTATCTTTTTTATCAGGTACAAAATGTTTTTCTGGCCAATGAATGATGTTGACCGAGGTGCTGATCGTAGTAAGTTTTACTCGGTCAATGATTAATATTAATTCAAATCATACTTTCACCTAGAGGTGTACAAAGACCGAGCGTTTAGTAATCTAAAAAACCAGTATTATTTAACAAAAAAAGGCCAGGTCAGGTCTTAACAGACCAATAGTCAATAATGTAGGAACAAATCTGAACTGACAATCCTAACTGATATTATAAACTCATTGATCGAAAGATATAAAAATAGGTTAAATTATGACATCGTAAACTAAATAAGTTAAATTATGACATTGTAAACCAGTATAGGATGAAAATTTAATCTGCTTAACGCTAATGTCAATAAACGGTCTCTAACTCCCTTAATTCCTACAGTGTTTTAAATAGCTCACCAAACTATAATGTTATAAACATAATGTCTATCAACTTTACATTTTGGCCTAGCGGTATCGTAGTCCTTGGCCTCCTAGGAGGTTAGGGGTTCAAACTTCACCAAAGGTAAGAAAGGTATATGAGTTTATTTGTTGCATTTGCCGTATATGAATATTATATACTTCCAAAAATAAAATTACAATCGATTTTACGTGTACCAATTTCGATCAAAATAACACAAAACGATTAAAAACTCCTAATTAATATTCGTTCAATGGTAAAAATGTAACACTGTTAACATTTTGTGTATACCGAATTAATCTAATCAGTATCTTGTAATGATTATTAATTAACAAATAAATAAATCTACAAAAGAATAAATCTAAAAAATGAAATTTTATAATACAACCTAAAATAAAAATAATTATATAATGAAAACACTGGAATTCTACTAAAAGGTATTTGGCCTAGCGGTATATGAGTCTTTGGCTTCATAGCAGGTAAGAGATTCAAACCTCACCAAAGGTGAAAAGAGTGTGAGTTTATTTATTTTATTTGTCGTATATAAATACTATATATTTCAAAAAAAACATTGGAGTTCTTGTTTATTTATAAAAGATTCACTTAGGGGCCGTTTACTTACCAAGTTATATTACTTTACCAGATGAATATGATAAGAACCAAAAATCTTACTCGGTAAGGACGAGGCAAAGACCGAGAGTCTTACCCGGTAAGTGAGGACAATGACTCTTACCACAGTCAGCTCTTACCAAGTAAATTGTTGCATAAAAAGCCGTTTTTGTTGACCAAAATCTTACCCGATAAGTAAATAATAGTATTGAACTTTTCCGGCAAATGCTTACCGCGTAAATGTTTGGTAAACGGTTCCTTATAGTTAAATTTGAGTTGTGGCTCTAAAAAGTTTAGAAGTAATTTTGAGTAAAAGAAAAGATGGAGGACCAAAAATGGAAAGTATTTTAAAGTTGAAGGGTCAATCAAAATACTTTGTAATAAAAACTTGGGGATATCAACCAAAATAGTCATTCTTCTAAACCAAATTCACTTTTTTAATTAAAATATCATTTTAACCAGAGTTTATGTAAATGTGGTGCATATTTTATTTTCAAATTAAAAAAAAAGAAAAAAAAACATTTACACAAATTCGTGTCGAGAATTTGCTAAGGATCTCAATTTGCGTAAATATTGTTTTTTTCCTTTTTTAATCTGAAAGTAGAATTTACGCAAATGTGTAAGACATTTACATAAACTTTGACTAAAGGGCCGTTTACCCAAATACTTACCCGGTAAGCGCTTACCAGTAGAAGTCAACACTATAATCTATTTTACCAGATAAGATTGTAGTATATTAAAACGATATCGTATGCAACAATTTACCCGATAAACGCTTACCCGGGTAAGAGTCCTCACCATCACTTACCGGGTGAGACTCTCTATCCCTGTTATCGCTCTTATCGGATAAGATTTTCAGCTCTTGTCATGTGCATCATGTGAGGAAAGTTACCCAATCCACACTTATCGGGTAAGTATTTAGTAAACGACACCTAAGATTAGAATCCTATTTTGGTCAATTTCCCTAAAAGCTTGAGAGTAAATTACTTTTTCGTATTTATGGTCTATGAAAATTGAGGATTTCATCTGTGGTTTTGAAATTGCGATTTTTGTCCCCATGGGTTACACATCATTCAGATGATTTTAAAACCATTAAAAGACAGACTTTTCTTTTACCAAACAATATTCACCTCTTAATAATTCACTGTCTCTTAATTAAAACTATTAAGAAGTAAACAAACAACCTATAAATAACTAAAATAACAATCACTTGTAATGAGCAAAAAGAAAAATATGAAAATCATAATTTCAAAATCAAAAAGAAGAAAATACCAACTTTCAACAAACCATAAGGCTAAAAACGTAATTTATTCTATTTTTGATTGCACATAGAGATGGCCAAAAACCGGTCCCGGGTCGGGCCGGGCCGAGCTGGTCCCAATCGGTCCTAACCTTTCTCATAACCGGCCATAACCGGTCTCGGCGTAACCGGTCTCGGTCGAAAATGATAGGACCGGTCAAGGTACTTCATAACCGGTTATGGGCCTCCGGTCCCGGTCCCGCTCCCAACCGGCCTTAAAAAAATAAGATTTTTTTTTTATTTTTTTAATGATATATATTTTTAATACATTATAAAATTTACAATTGGGTCACTCAAATACACTTTAAAAATACGTTTTAATATAATAAAAATTACGTTTTCTTATAAAAATACATTATAAAATTATTAAAAAATACATTTATTTATAAAATTATTTGAATTTTCGGGCCGGGCCGGGGGTGTCCATAATCGGTCCCATAACCGGTCCCGGTCCCACGAAACTACCAAAAACCTCAACCGGTCCCGGTCCCGGGCCGGTCCTTTGTCAGTCCCGGTCCTGGTCCTCCGGCGTCCCTGGACCGGGCCGGGCCGGGCCGATTTGGCCATCTCTAGTTGCACATTTGTTATTGGGCCAGTATTATATTTCTAAAGTGGACTAGTAGGCCCAATTTTAGCACATCAACATTTAACTAAAATATAAATATTTATATAAGGTCAACCAAGTCAATTTCAAATAATTGGTGTCAAAAATTTTAAGGGGCCGTTTATCAAACATTTATCTGGGTAAGCATTTATCAAGTCACCTTATTTTACTGAATGAATATGGTAAGGACTAAAAATCTTACCCGGTATGAGGAAGACAAGAACCGAGAGTTTTACCCGGTAGATGGGGGGCGACGACTCTTACTATGGTAAGCACTTACTAGGTAAATTGTTACATACGATGCCGTTTTGATGTACTAAAGTCTTACCCGGTAAGTAAGTGACAGTGTTAAATTTTATCGATAAACACTTATCGAGTAAGTGTTTGATAAACGACCCCTAACTCTAAATATATCCAGAAAAAATAAACCCTAAAAACTTCTACGATATTAAAATCAAAACCGTTACCTTATTTAATTTAATTTATATCCCTTACTTTTTTGTTTATACCTTTATCATATTAACATAATCGTATATTAATTAAAATACATTAAAAATATATGTTCTTTTATAAATTATGTTATTATAATCGTCTCGTCAATACTTTCAAAATAAGCTCAATTTTGAGTATTTTTGTATTTAATCATATTAATAAATATCATAATACGTATGAATTATTTTTAACTTCCATTTTGATACCTAAAATGTAAAGTTTTAAACATTTAAATAAAACCCAGGATAATAGCTGGATAACGTCTAATTTCACATATATACAATCTCAAAGGATACTTGCAAGCAAATCAAACGGTCTTAAAATCGAGTATACCGTCTTATTAAGATAAGCTATTATAATCATCAATAATGCAGTTCTGAAAATGATGTTTTCTTTGATTACGCTACTTAGGGTTGTCAGTAACACGGTTTCAAACAGGAAAAGAAACCATTACCTGACTTATAACTCAGTAACACGTACACAGTTTTTAAGAATACAGAAAAGCTTATTAATTGGAACCGAACGTTAAACCATAAACAAAGCTTAGGTTCACGTTCGGCTTTTTGGTTGAATTGCATTTAAGATCATATTCAAGACTCTTCTCGCTCACAAAGACGATTGTCGGTCTTCCTCCAGCTATTTTTAAGCTGTACAAGAGATCTGATTCAGGATCGTTGATTTCTTTAAAATTTACGATTGACAGAAACACGAACAATGATCAGTGGGTTATAATTAAAAATGAATACTTATTTCGTAACGATGGTAATAATCAATTACCTCTGTATATCATGATCGAGTGATGAATTACCATCGATGCCATCCTTCAACTGTATTTTGAATCGCGAATACATAAAATAACAAAATCGAAACATGATTAATTTTGAAATAAAATACTCCAAATGTTGTATATATTATAGGGCAAATTGTAAGAAAAAGTAACGTGCTTTAACTTGATTCATATTTTGGGTAACATACTCTCAAAACTTCCATTTTCGACTAAGATATAAAATTTTAAACATTTAGGAATTGTTTGTTTACCTCTTAATAGTTCCATTAAGAGGCAGTCTCTGAATCGTTAAAAGGTGAATCTTGTTTGACAAAAAAAAAATTTGTCTCTTATTGGTTCTAAAACCTTCCTAATGATTTTGTATCTTGGACCTCCCTTAACTATTCATCACCCTAATTTCATGGTAAACAATTACCAAACAGTTATATTTTATTTTGCACTATATCATAAGAACCTCTTAATCATTCTGACCACTTAAACATTTTACACCAAACCATTCAGCAACTGCCAAACAGCCCCTTAGGTACCCGGGTAACCAGTTGAAGCATTAACCGGTTATCATGCTGATGTGGCGAGTGATGTGGTATCCAACTCAGTATTATTTGCTGACGTGGTTAGTGACATGAATTTCTTATAATCTAAATTTAGTTTTTTTAATCTAAAATTAGTGTTCAACCGGTTACCCGAGTACTTAAATGTTTAAAATTTTACATCTTAGATACCAAAATGAAAATTTTAAAAGTAAATTACCCAAAATAATAATCAAGTTAAACTACGTTATTTTTTCATACAATTTACTCGTACTCACTTTCTTGTTAAGAAGGGTGTTCTTCTCTTGCATGCTTTTTAGCTGCATACACAAATAGATTTGAAAAATGGTCAAGAGTGAAATATATACAGAAATGTACTTTCTTTTTATTTGTATGTGTATATATATACGTATATATATACGTATAGAATATTATATATATATATATATATAAAGTTGAAATCGACCGATAAAAGTACACATCGATTGATATACGGCTTAATTATGGTTTTCACGATTTTAGAGTTAAGACGTCTCACGTTTCTCTTGAGTAAGCTTATGTGCTCGGATAAAAGACGCCGCTGTCAAAATCGATTAATCAATTAAGACACGAAATCAATATGAATAACATATAACGATAACATATAGATATGATATATAATGACGGGATGATTCAAAATTGCCTTTTTAGAGCGTACACGATCAACTCCGATCCTCAATTGACGCTCGAGTTTCTGTAAGTCTTTCATCCCTAACGTCGATAGATCGTCTCCGGCAAAATGCCTCCGAGGATCGAAAGAGGACAAAACAATCAAGGATTTTAATTAATATAAAAGAATTAATTAAGGGTTTAATTTGGATTAATTAATAATTGATTAATTACTTGTGTTTAGTTTCTAAGGCCTCAAGCATTCTCTTCATTTCTTCCATTTCATCCTTCCACACCTGTAACAAATAAATTAAACATTTACTGTTTTCTTGAATCTTTACAGCAAAAACACTGTGAAGTAAAAATCGTGTCTTATGAAAACAGTATTGTATCACGTGAACCCAACCCTAGAATATTGAATTAATATAAATTATAGATGTTCAATTTAAACCTACCTCGAACGTCCTAATTCCACTGTTGTTCGTGGTGCCCGATCCCTTTTCACGGCGATATCTTATCATGGTCCTATCCATGCTACAACATATATAATTAAACCGTTAGAATTCGTGAAAATACTGATCTCTCTATATAAACGTACACACGGACATGTTCAACTGCGAATCTGAGTTCCGTTGTAAACAAGAGACAAACGGGAGCGCAACACATGTCTCCAATCATCGTGAATAATGAGCGTGAATTCTTACAACATTCACGATGAATGATACACCGTTAATGTTGAATATCCCATGAATAGCAGAGAGACAGATGTATATATATATAGGGGTGTATGTGTGTATATATATATATATATATATAGAGAGAGAGAGAGAGAGAGAGAGACCCATGGCTGGAGAAGAGATGGGGTTTTGGAGAAGAAGGAGAGAAGATGAGAAGAGCAACCTCAGCATCACAGAGAAGGGAAAGCTCAAAGGCTTTCTTAAGCAAACCATTTGTTCTTCTTGAGAACGTCTCCTCTCTCTTTGTTGCATTCTCTATTCTCTTTACCTCTACTTTCCCTCTTCCCATTTTCCTACCTCTCTTTTCTATATCTACATCTATATATATATATATATATATATATATATATATATCTATATATGTATCTATATATTGGGGAGTGTTCAAATAAAAACCATTCAATTTGTAAAAACCGTGAAAACCTCATTCAACCAATCATAATTTTTCATTTTGTTCATTTTTTTTTATAATTATGAGAGGTTGATTAACCATTTTTATTGTGGAGCGTGTTAATCATGGATAATATCGTCTTCATTATTTTAATTTTAGAGAAATACATGAAACAGTTTCATTAAAATTTCATTAAATATTATATGAAGCAATTTCATAACCATATATGAAACAAATTAATCAAAAAAAATATTATATGAAACAATTTCACAAGATTAAACAATTTCATGAGAAAAATTCATAATATTAAACAATGAAATCGACGTATGAGGGTAGTTTGTACGGTTTTTACAAATGAGGGTGGTTTTTATTTGATCGCTCCTCTCTATATATCTATATCTATATCTATATATATATATATATATATATATATATATATATGTTTATATATAGTTTTTCCTTTAATTAAGATATGTTATACATCTTAATTATCTTTCTTAAATGGGATAATTAACTTATGCTTCTGATGCTTTTGGAGTAACGTTTCAATAAGTAAATTTATAAGCTACTTTTTGTCCATTTAAAACGGGCACTTAAAATAAGTTCATAAAATAAGCCGACTTAAGTTAGCTTATGCTTGCCAATCATAACCATACCATCATTTTGAATAACTAGAAGAGTACTCGCGCAATGCAGCAACGAGACACATCTCGATTTTAATTTCTATTTTATTATTTGTCTTTGTCGATGTTATAATACGATTTTATGTGTTTTTAAGAAAGCAATAATAATTTTATTTTTGAACAAAATATAAATTTAAAGATATCATAAAATTTTGAAAAAATATATATCAATGTTAATATCAAATCAACTATTTAAAAGTTTTCATTTTTTATGAAAGTTCTTTAATTTATTTTTTTATTATAATTTAATTTAAGTTTAATAATTAACAAATTTATTTTTGGTTTAATAATATAACATTTTATAAAGACTAGAAGGGTACTCGTGCAATGCATCGAAACACATCTTGATTTCAGTGTTTCGTTTTATTCCCTTTTTATGTCGATATAAAATGGTTTTATGTGGTTTTGAGAAAACGATAATGTTTTTATTTTTGAATAAAATATAAATTTAAAAATATTATAAATTTTTTAAAAAAATATATCGATATCAGTATCAAATTAATCTTTCTAAAAGTTCTCATGTTTTGTGTAATTTCCTTAATTCAATTTTTTTAATTATAATTTAATTTAGGTTTAATAATATAATTTTTATAAAAATAATAATTAAGTATTCTGTTATAATTTAATGATTATCCTAATTATATTTTAGATTTTTTTATTTAAAATGAGATATTTATCCTGTATTTGATTATGTTTATCTACAGTTAGTTACAAGAATTCAAAGATAGAGCTTTAATAAATTGTACTTAAACACAATCTACTTGTAATCTTGAATTTTAAGTAATATAAATCAATAAACAATACTTCATGCATAAAAAATAGTTTTTAAGAGTTTTTGTCAAATGCTTTATAATATAGTATAGATAATAATTAAGTATTCTGTTAGAACTCAGTGATTATCCTAATTATATTTTAGATTTTTTATATTTAAAATGAGATGTTTATCATGTATTTGATTATGTTTATCTACAGTTAGTTACACGAATTCAGATATGGAACTTTAATAAGTTGTACTTACGCACAATCTACTTGTAATCTTGAGTTTTAATTAATATGCATTAATAAACAATACTTTATGCATAAAAACTGATTTTTAAAAGTTTTTTTTTTCAAATGCTTTATAATATAATATAGATGTATAGATAATTTGTTACCATTTAAAAGAACTGATTGCATACATCGTTTATATATGTTTTAAATCAGTATATAAAGAATAATTTTACTGTAAAATAACCGTTAAAGAATATACATAGAAATCATAATTGTTAATTATTTAATGTATTTGGTGTGGATTTTTGAAGGATACAAATGATAATTTATAGTAATTAAAACTATATAAAGATATAAATATGAAATAAAAATTAATTAATTAATCTGTTGATTGATATAAATTAATTCAAACAACGGTACATGTAATATTATCTTTTTGTAAATGGTTGAAATCCACATATGTCGACATCCTACGTATCCCCACTAAACTCCACCTTTCGGTCATGATTCGTTATGTTTCATTTTCAGTTTCATTTTTTTTATCTGTTGATATATATATATATATATATATATATATATATATATATATATATATATATATTTTCTACATACATTATTAGGCGAACGATGATGTAAGAAAAAGAGTTAAGGTGAAAAGCGTAAAAAAAGATTTGAACTATAGATTACCTTTAATCTCAAACTTACCTATAAATTACGTTTGATACGGGGATTTATCTGATGCATCTCACTCTAACTCAACATTATATTATGAATGGATCAAAAATAGAAATGAGGGGGTATAAATGATAATAAACGAAAGAAGAGGGGTGAAATTGAAAATGAGGATGTCAACCAAGTTGAGACACATCAAGCTTTGCTTTAGAGATTTAATGATTAAAATAAAGGATAGATTTGTGGTAAGGGCGGTGGTTGACTTTTGTAAAGTCCAACATGGGATCATCTTTATACTTTTGTTGCTTTACATCAATTTTACTTTTACGCATTTTGGTATTATATTAAAGAGATGAGTTAGGGGCTTAAGCATGCCATATATATATATATATATAGAGAGAGAGAGAGAGAAGGGGGAGCGATAAACCACCCAATTTATATAAACTGGTGTAAACCATTTTCATCCGTCGATTTTATTGTTTAATATTGTGAAATTGTTTCATGTACTACTTTTTTTGATGAAGTTGTTTCATATATGGTTATGAAATTTTAATGAAACTGTTTCATATATTTCTCTAAAATTAAAATAATGAAGATGATAATATCCAT